CATGAAATCCACAAATTACTAATTTCATGTCATAACCTAATCGCCCATCAACTAATCAACTAATTCACGAATAAAGTTCAATACATATGATTTAGTTATGAATAAGAGATAAGTGCGAGAAAATCATTTTGAGGAAGTAGATAAAATTGTCTCTTTTTAACGCATTATAATAAAAGATTTAGGATTTTTATGAGTGTGGTTATAGCTGTTTATCATTTTGTTTAAACAACCAATTCTCACACATCATTCCTTTGTGACAGAAATTATGCTTCTTAAAGTATTCTTTTCTTAATTATAATAGGCCAGTGTGTTTTGCAATTTGACAAATTGGCCTTTCTTTTTTTCCCTTTTTTTTTTTTCATTGTGTGTCGACAATATGAGCACCTATTTGCTGTGATTTTAAACGTGTCAACATTTTTATAGGTCCATTAACAGTGTTAAATGGTCACGTTAGCGAATTTATTTAATTAGCAATTTCAAAAAAAATATAATATTTTTATTTCAACACTCAAACATGAAATAACACAATACATTTAAAATATGTTTGGTTTGAAAAAATACAAGAGAAGAGTTTTTGACAAGTGAAAAAATTTATTCCTTCCCTCATTTTCTATTTAAACCAAATATATTCCCTTTTTATAGAGAGTAAAATATAAGCATGGTATGCAAATTATACATAGCACAAATTAATATCTCAATTTAAAGACAATATGAAATTAAAAAAGAATACAGAAAAAACCCACCATAAGCAGGAGTCGAGCAAACATACTCTTAGATCATCATAGGTTAATTAAAAAGAATAAACCAACGACATGTTAATTCGAGTAAAAAGACATTGATTCCACTTAAATAAAATCTGTTGTGATTCAACTTCAAAAGTTAATAAGAATTTAATATAATTTTAAAATATCGAGAATTAGTAAAAAAAAAATTTAAATTAAACTATACCGAAATAAAAGAAAGGGTCTAAATCTAATGATCCATCTGCAGATCGGGCTTGGACACCTTTAGAAATCCATAAAATGCCCATAAAAGACGAAGCCCAGCCCATAAAAAAACCCTAACAAATGATGAAAGGTCAAATGTCCCTCAACTTTAATTAGAGTTTTACACAATTTTTGTCTCTTAATTATTTTAAGTACTTTTTTGTCCTTCAACTTTAATAAGGATACTTTTTTATCTATTTATAGTTAATCCATTAAATTTATTTATATATGTATATTTTTTTACTAATGACCTATTAGTTTGTGTAGAAGAAATTTAGTTTTTTTTTTTAAATAAAATTTTGATTTCAAGTCTTATAAATAAAAAATTAAACATTGAAAGAGTTTTTTCTTTTTATGAGGTGCAACTTAACTTTAAATTAGTCAAATTCAATACAACTTCCAAATATTGAAGGGTTTAATAAAACAAGTATATATATACACATTTTTAGTTTTTAAACTTCTAATAAGCATATATTATAAATTTAATGGCTAAAAATGTATGTATTTGGATGAATTTAATAAATTAACTAGAAAAACTAAACATTTGTTTTTTCCAAAATTGATAGACATAAAAAAAAGCACAAAAAGAGTTGAGGGACAAAAACTATACAAAACCCTAAAGCTGAGGGATTAAAATTGGCATTTAACCATGTTAAAAACCCTAGTTAGTCCCCTCCTCCACTGTCATATGCCCTCACCTTTTCGAAGAGTGTCGGCAACTCTCGATTCTCCGTCGCCGCCTCTCTCTTTCTTTTCAGGTTCGTTTTTTTCATCTTTTCCTTCTGATTCCGTTCTTTTCCCGATCGCCAAACACCGTTTTCTGGTTCCGTATTTCTTGTTTTCTCTGCGTCGATTTAAGATCTGAAGCACCATCTGAATTCTGAATCAAATTTTCATTTTACATCCAAATTTATTTTCCTCTGATTGATAGTGTTTTGCTCGATTTTATTGTTATGAGATTCAGTAGTTTGAGAAGTTTATTATATCTATCTATCTATCTATCTCTGTATTGAGATTTGCAAGTCTTTTTGGTTAGATTGTTTGATTGATCTCATCCGCCATGGATTTACTATTTTTTTTTTTCATACATGAATTTGTCGGATTTGTGTTTGATTGATCTGTTTAGATCTTTTTTCGATGAGTTTCTATGCATCAAATGAATTGAAAATTTGATTTTTAATTTTGGTTATGATAATACCTCTGTTGTATTCATCTCTTTAATTGATTTGCAAAGTTTTAGTGAAAATCAAATGTTCTGTAATATTATGATTGGATGCCTCTGTTGTCAAAAGCTTTTAGATCAAGTTTTCAGTCTGATTTACAATTTTAACTGAAATGTGTTTTTTCCTGTTTTATTAATTGACTTTTGGATCATTTTGGTGTAGGAAATAGTAGTTGGTGTAATTTGAAGGCAAAGGCAAGATGGTAAGTGTGTTTTATTATAACCACTTTGCAGGGAAACTAAACTTTTATTATTATTATTATTATTATTTCAATTTCTGATGGAATGTATTTTTTTCTTTTTATTGTGCAGGTGAAGTTCACTGCTGATGAGCTTCGTAAGATTATGGACCTCAAGCATAATATTAGGAATATGTCTGTGATTGCCCACGTGGATCATGGTATGTGTTTGAATAATGTTGCACCTTATATATTTTCCACTTTGATTAGAGTGCATTTCTTGTAAAACAATTCATTAGTGTGAACTTGTAGCACATGAAAATTGATTCTTTGCCTCGTGCTTTAGAATATCCTGATTTATCATTTTTTCCAAGAAAAAAAAAAAGAAAAAGGGAAATGCTTAAATTTTTGTCCATAAAATGAATACTGATTTAGTTTGTTTTTCTATGGTGGTTTGATTTTATCAATTAGATCGATATTTGAAGTATGCTGATGCTTATTTTACTGTTTTTCAGGGAAGTCCACCCTAACCGATTCACTAGTTGCGGCAGCTGGTATCATTGCTCAGGAAGTCGCTGGTGATGTCCGGATGACTGATACTCGTGCTGATGAGGCAGAACGTGGCATCACAATTAAGTCGACTGGCATCTCATTGTATTATGAAATGAGTGATGAAGCTTTGAAGGATTACAAGGGAGAGCGAGTGGGCAATGAATATCTTATAAATCTTATTGATTCTCCTGGACACGTTGACTTTTCATCTGAGGTTACAGCTGCACTACGTATTACTGATGGTGCACTTGTGGTGGTTGATTGTGTTGAGGGTGTCTGTGTGCAAACTGAAACTGTGCTCAGACAAGCTTTGGGAGAAAGGATAAGACCTGTCTTGACTGTTAACAAGATGGACAGGTGCTTCCTTGAGCTCCAGGTT